AGGAGGAGGAGGAGGAGGAGGAGGAGGACCAGTGCAAACCCAAGAGGCATCAACGATGCTGGAATACTCCCTCCCTCCAAGCTCTCTCTCTTCATATGCCCCTACAGCGGTTCATTTTTACGGAGGGAGCTGCCTCGTTGGAAGACAACTGTTTGAAGACACTGAATCATGCCAAGACATTTTCTCGGGATTCCAGCGCCACGGATCAACTTGACTGTTGCTTCTTGACGATCCTGAGTCGTGTCAGAACGCCATTCCTAGAAATTGAACACCACAATTCAAGATAATTTGTGCACCCTCATGTCTGAATCCTTCCAAAACGCAATCTCTGGTACGCTGATCATGGGAATCCGTGAAATTATTGCGAATTGTTAGAAGGAATGTGCGCGGCGCTACAGCGAGAGCCACATGTTGAAAAGGAACCGCCCTCAATCCGTGAAGCTCTTGCAAATGTTTGAGACGAATGTGCGCGGCACTAAGGCGAGAGCCACATTGAAAAAACGGCTCGCCCTCAATGCGTGGAACTCTTGCAAACGTTTATAACGAATGTGCGCGGCGTTAAGGCGAGAGCCACATGTTCAAAACAAATCGCCCTCAATATGTGGAGCTCTTGCACATGTCTAAGACGAATGTGCGCGGCGCTCAGGCGAGAACCACATTTTGAAAAGCACCCGCCATCCATCTGTGAAACTGTTGCCAATGTCTTAGCTTCAGAGTTGTAAATGGTGAGGAAGTCTCCGGCGAAACGCCTGGCCCGCCCCAAAAACTGGCCTCGGGGTGCGACAGGGAGAAGTTATTCATAAGGAGAAGGAATGGAGAAGGAGGAGGAGGAGGAGGAAGAGGAGGACCGTCACCCTGGCCCCCCCGCTGCCCAGGGAGGGCGGCGGCCTCGCCCAGCGACCAGCGCCGGACCACCAGGTAGGCCACGAAGCAGAGCAGGCAGCCCAGCTGCAGCATGTTGGAGACCGCCAGCGGCATCTGCGGCGCCCCGGAGGCGAAGAGGCTCTCCTGCAGAGGGGGGGAGGCCGATGGGCCGGGGCGAGGCGCCTCGTCGGCCTGGGCTCGAGCGGCGGGCGCGCGCCGGCCTGGCCCGCGCGCTCGCGCGCTCGCGCGGCTGCGGCCCCGCGGGCCGCCTGCCTCACGCAGGCCAGCGGCGGCAGGGCGGCGCCCCCGCCAGCTCGGCAGAGGGCCCCCTAAGAGCCCTGCGCGCGCCACCGCAGTCAACCCGTATAGCAAGGGACGCTGGACATGTCTCGGGGTGTTGTACGTCACCAGAGATACAGCCAGAGCAGCACGCTGCGCAATGGTGCAACAACCCAAGGAGGCGACGTCGGTGCCGAACACAGAAAATAAAAGAAAAACAACCCATTGAAAAGGCTGCAAACTTTGCAAAACACCGTATGCGCATGAATCCGTCACCGTGCCTCTGGGCGTACAGTC